TAAATCTGAAAGTATCTGTGGCTTGGGCGTAACGTCCTTGAGCAATGTTGGTGGTTCGTTGTGGAGGGATGTTCGACCCACAGGGACGGACGTTAGTTATTCTAAAATTGATTCAATAAAGATTTTGAGTGCATCTAATACGCATAACCTTCCTATGCACAACACATTTTAACATATCTTCATCACACTTCAAAAAACCCGATTGCCTTAAGGACTTTCTTGACTGTCGACATGTCCTTTCCACTGTCTAGATAAATAGCTCCAACCAACGCCTCAATTGTTGACGCAGCAGTCTCTTGCGGCACCTGACCTTCTTGACATGGGTTTTTAGTAACATAAGTCGATATTTTGCTTCTCTGAGCTACTTGACTCAGTTTTGTATTCCTGCATAGATTTTTTACTCTATCGTGACCCTCAGCTAGCAAGGTTAGTTTTTCAAGAACCGTTCACGGACGTGCATACCCACCAGTACTTTCCTCAGAGTTGTACCAGGGCTCTAGAACAGCCTCTTGTATGACTGAATCTCCTAATAGAGCTAGGCGCTTATTGCCTTGCACGTCACCTTCTATGTCTTTGCTTGAAGCTGCCGCCCCCGCAGCGAGTAATGCTTCTTCAAGCAATTCATAGTTGGAGAAATGATACTGAAGGATGGTCTCAATAGGACGTTCCGTCATTCTCACTGCTGTGAAAGAGATACAGCGAGAAGCTGTAGCTTGTAGAAGGTTTGGAGTATAGATGATTGTTATCTATCTAATGAACAACATGGTGCAAACATATCTACCTTATATATGCAATTGATGACAGAGGATCTATATGTCCCGTTATCCTGCGATCGCTTTTCTTTTTGAAAATTTTGTAAACTTGTCAAATGAATGTTGGATCTCTAATAATGATGAAGGTTATGACCACAGCGTACCAAACTTGTAGAAACCTTGGATTGACTAAGCTAGTTTATATGATGAATAAGACGATTACTCATGCTTATGTAATATAGATACGCAAGTCTATTGCCCCAATCGTCTCAGAAGGCAAACTTAGATTTTGATTAGTTCAATTAATTTGCAGTCTGTCTTATGGATGTTGCCAATCGTGTTACTTATATGAACCGTATTGCAAGGTGCAAGGAATGCGAGAAAGGCAATGTAGACGACTATTGGTCAAGCACTTGCCAGGCTAGAAGCGGGGTTGTTATGCTGATCAATAATCTTATACACTAACGTGTTTTATCAGTAAGCGGCCCACATCAGTAAGTGGCCCACCCCACCAAACTTGACGCGGCTCTCTCCACAACCACCACAATGCCGCG